GGGGGGGCTGTTGACAGATACATAGGTGGGTAAATAGGTAGAAAAAGGGATAAAGGCATGTTTATTATGTTTTCCGGTAAATATACTGATAATATGTATATTTGTGGGCATGATATAACGATTATTTCTGATAGATAAACCCAATGTATGTAGGCATGCATATATAAAGATTTCAGCATGGCGATGTAAGTGTTACAGAGACTTTTGTTTTGCACACTCCAACCCCCCCCCCTCCCCCCACATCCTCCTCATCCCTCAGTAGCAGCATGTTCTATTACAATACTGTCTTTGTCGGCCGGCCATCTCTTGTCTTGTCCTGTGTGCGACTGTGCAGACTCGAACCTCTACACCACAGACGCCGGTGAGCCTTTTCTGCCTGGCGTCTGCTGACGTGCAATGGTAGAAGAGTGGGTGGTTGGCGAGTGCTCATGTGTGGTTTGCTTCTTCTTTCCTATCAAACATCTATCGTCCTTATCTCTCCTACTTCTTTGTTGTGTTTATTACTCCCTTGTAACACACCTAATCTTCGGCACTAAAATATGACCTTATTGTGTTGCTAGTGCCGTAAAACTCTTAGGAAGACGAACTCTTTTCTTCTCTTGCGTGCAACAGTGCAGACTCTAACCGCTACACCAGCTACACCACAGACACCGATTAGCCTTTTCTGCTTGGAATCTGCTGAGGTGCAATGGTAGAAGACATGGGTTCGGTTCCTGTGTGGGGAAGTCGTTTTATCCTGTGTCTTCGTCTGTGTGCTGGGATACTGTGTTCTTCTCTGCTTGAGTTGGACTTGGATTTACTTGGATCCAGAGCTAGAATCATAGCAGGCGGCACATGTCCTTAGCTGCTCATCTCTCCTTTCCAGCGTCCACCTCAGGGTCTTCCTGCTAATTTTCTCCATGAGGAGCTGGTTTGAGACACGCCTGACCACTCCCCAGAGCAAACTTTTTTTTTCTAGAGTTGGACTTTTGTGGGCATAATCGACGCAGCCCGCCCCCTAAATGATCTAAATTGTGCGGGTGGGGTCGTAAAACGGCTACAATGTACAACCAATCCCTCTCCATTATTCTCCCTCGCTGTACTACTTTTCTCTGTCTGTCTGTCTGTCTGTCTGTCTGTCTGTCTGTCTGTCTGTCTGTCTGTCTGTCTGTCTGTCTGT